AGAGAGAGAGAGAGAGAGAGAGAGAGAGAGAGAGAGTAGATGGATGTATGCCTTGATTTTTTTTCTATATGGGAGAATACATATAGCTATATATAATTTGAGTGCATGGAAATCTCTATAGGTGGTATTTTGGGGTCATGCGGATGGATATTTTGTGGAAGGTATCTTGACAATTACGTGACGGCTAAGTAGGAGGCAAGTGGGGAGAATTGGAGGAGCAAAAGTTATGGGAGTCCAAGTCAAGGATGAACTAACCACACCCACTTTTCTTCTTAGCTTTCCCTTCTTTTGATGACAAGAAGAAGATTGGGATGGGAAGGGGATAAGAACAAGGCGGTGGAGATCATGGGCCTCATGCTTTGGTGTCGAGGAGATAAAAGGGAGAAACATATCACATGTTGTGGTGGATAGGAGGCGTGGCTTCCGTAAATCTATTTCCATCATCAATATAAGATTTAAGCTATCGTTGCAACTATGTTTTCGTAATCAATTTCTACTAATATATGCAGTCTTACGTCTACACTTGAGAGATTATTTTCTGAATCGTATCGAAAAGGACATGTCGATGTTTTGACATGGAAGAGAGAGGAAGACGAAGGCTTGGGATATGGTTGCAGGGTTTGATGGAGAACGTGTGTCAGGTAGAGATGGCTTGCCTAGGGTCACTTATTTCTGGGCCGGGCCGGGCCGGGCCCAGCCCATGACACGGACAAGTCATGATGCCCAATCGGATGGAGGATCCTGATTTGGATTCCCTATTCCACGTGTCGGCCGTTAACAGTCTCAGAAGCTCGCCATCCTATCTCGCTAAGATAAGCCCGGACCGCCGACCGAGCATTAAACGGGTGCCCCCCGACCTGCTCCTCTCACTACCACCAGTGGCAGAGGCAGTGGTGTTTCCATCATGGCATCGCTCTGTGCTTCCTCTTCTGCAGTCGCTGCAGTCGCCAGGCAAGTTCTTCATCATGTTCTGCAAAAATGTTCACATCTTTCATGCTGTTCTTCTATGGATCTGCTTCAGGTCTCGGAAGAACGGAGCTGCTGCCGTTGCTGCAACCAAGGCATCATTTCTTGGAGGAAGGAAACTGAGGCAGGGGAAGCGGGCGGCACGGGCACAAACTGCACGCCGGGAGCTCTCGGTGTCTGCTGCCGCTGCACCTGAGAGGCCTCTCTGGTTCCCAGGCAGCACCCCTCCACCATGGCTTGATGGCAGGTGAAGACACTCTCCTCCTTCTTCCTCTTCGTTTCCCCAAACTGACATATTGGAGTTGCAGCCTTCCTGGAGATTTTGGCTTCGATCCTTTGGGTCTCGGTAAGTCTGAGCTCGTCGAACCCTTACAGACCACCATGTCATGGTGCTTACGGCAACAAAAGATGAACGAGTGGGTCTTCTTTACACGTGCAGGCTCTGATCCTGAGAGCCTGAGATGGAACCAGCAAGCGGAGATCGTCCACTGCCGGTGGGCGATGCTGGGCGCTGCCGGCATCTTCATCCCGGAGCTGCTCACCAAGATCGGCATCCTCAACACCCCCTCGTGGTACACCGCCGGCCAGCTGCAGTACTTCACGGACACCACCACCCTGTTTGTGATCGAGCTCATTTTGATCGGGTGGGCCGAGGGGCGGAGGTGGGCGGACATCATCAAGCCCGGCTGCGTCAACACCGACCCCATCTTCCCCAACAACAAGCTCACCGGCACCGACGTCGGCTACCCCGGCGGCTTCTGGTTCGACCCCCTCGGCTGGGGCAGTGGCTCGCCGGAGAAGGTGAAGGAGCTGAGGACCAAGGAGATCAAGAACGGGAGGCTGGCGATGTTGGCCGTGATGGGCGCATGGTTCCAAGCCATCTACACCGGAACAGGGCCCATCGACAACCTCTTCGCGCACCTTGCCGACCCCGGCCATGCCACAGTTTTCTCTGTGAGTAGATTCCACTGGATTCCTGTGGAGAAGATGAGTAGGTACATGATTCCATGTTTGACTCTGCTTCATGCTGCAGGCTTTCACCCCCAACTGAGCAAGGATTGGAGAAGCACACGATGCAGTCATGATAGATGTTGTAATCCTCGTGTGTTCTTGAGCTGTGCTTGTAACGCTTTTTACCTTTCTGCTCATGTAATTATAAGCAGCAATGGACGGTTTACCAGTTGCTTCAAATTGTTGTCTGTGGATTAGAACAGGTCGAGAGCCTTGGAGTGCTGGATGTGGAAAGATCTGTCACTAGTTTCAGAAAGAACACAACAACAAAACATGTCAACAAGAAGAACATTGCATTGAAGATGCAGTGTAGGAATCGAGGGGGATGCATCAGTCTGAAACTAGAACTGCTTGCGGTAGCATCAATTCCATGAACAGATGAATTGGCAACTTTGATGCAGGTCAGGAAAGAGAGATCTAATATTTTGCTACCAACAGAAATGCATGCGTGCCACATACTGTTTGCAAAGGAAATATAAACCTTGGGTTAAAACAAGCCAGTCATCAGAAGCACATAACATTGGATGAAGATATCCAAGAACAGATACTTGTTTAGGCTCAAATGGGCTAAAACAATGGTTCTACTGGATTGCAACCAAAACAGATGCTTGTTCAGCTATTTGATGTTTTCCCAGTCTGTCTATAAATAAAACATTCAACCTAATTCACTACACAAAGTATGATTAGATTTCACATGTGAATAAATAAATCAAAGAGGAAGCGCAAATGCATAAATACCAATTTAACATTGAATAAATACCATATGGAATAATAAAGAGTAGAAGCAAGATGTTAGGAAAGGGTCTATCCAAATCTAAACTTGATTGCCATAAACAAATTGATTATAGTGGTCTCTTTTCTTTTACCTAATCTTGAGTGCCATAATCAATTTGATTAATGGGTAGGCACAACAGGATCCAATCCCTGACTGCAAGATCACAAATGGTAATCTACTAAAAACATTTCATTGGAAAAGGAATACCAGTAGTAGTTGGATTCAAAATGGCAATCACTGACCCTGCAGCATATTGCATATTCAGTGTCAATAGATCCAGCAGTTCCATGGCCGAGTGACTGATGAAAAGCTCAGAGACCAGTGCAGAAGAAGTTCAACCTTTAGAGGTGATTCATAGAAGGACACTGGTTTGATCAAAATATCCAGAGAATGTATGGCTAATCCATACCTCAGAGAGAGACAGGGGATTGGAATTGGAAGGCTAACACAAGGGCAAGATGGATCAACCAAGGCCACTAACAAATGTGGGAGTAGAAAAAGATCTGGGATCTTGTGGACCAGCAGAATCCTCACTTAAAAGGATCTCTCCTTGCAACAACACCAGAAATTGCATTCAAGATCTCCATCTCAATCAATTCCAAAAATAACACCAAAAACCAAAATAAACATCTCCAAGCATTTTCCTCATAATTTTTCACTGCTATTGTGTTATCTTGACAGTCGGTAGATCTGCCTTCTGGATGTTGAAGAAGCACAAAAAACCAACTCAAACTTGTCGAAACTCGTCGTGATGCCCATTGCTAATCAAACCTATGATTTTTGGTGCTTAAGAAAGCAGGATGTATGAGAAGAGTGTGAAGTCTGTATCAGTCATTTGTACACCAAATTTTGTAACATTCCAACTAAGACTGACTTGATGAGGAGAAAGCTACAATCACCTGAGCATCAGATCAACTCAACGTATCATTTAGCATCACACACAGATAGATGATGGTATTATTCTACAAAAGAGTCTGTCACCGGAAACATCTGTTCACAGAATCAACACACGGAAGGAAAGAGAAGAGCCACTATCTTGCTCAAAACCTGAGCATATTTTCCATTAAATTATACTGTCAAGTTTATCAGTATAGCAAGAACCACAGCGAGTCAAAGAGAGGAAAAGAAATCCAAAATTATAGGCACCACCAGTTCATGGCCACGAATTACTCGATCTATACAAATACGTCTCTCCTGTCACGGAGAGCGGCCGGACCGCATGGGAACTTGAATCGGGAGCGGCCGGCCAGACCCGGACCCGCCGCAGCTCCTGCACAGCATCATGCCTGAGCCGGTGCAGGACCGGCAGCCGATGTCGCCGTCTGACCACCTCGAGCACAGGCACGCGACGCGGCCCGTCCCGTTGCACGATGGACACCGCGGCCACCCTCCCGCCATGGGGCGGTTCTCCACAACCGACTTCACGATGGCCGCCCCGGCCAGCACGCCCAGGCCGGTGGCCAACTGAGACACCAGCACCAGAGGACCCATCGGAGACACAATTGGGAGAGGAGATTAAGGGAAGGGAGTAGCATACACAACGATGCGGTGAGCTTGATTTTATTAGTAAGAGGAGGAAGAGGTCTACCATCACATGTGTTGGAGGGGAGTTGGTGGTTGCGTAGGAGAACACGTAAACGTGTTTGGGTTGATTTTGAAGACAGAATGATATTGAGTGGTTTGGGTTGCGTGACAGGCAGAAGAGGTGGGAGCGCAGCGGAGTGGGCGGCAAAGGCGGCTCGGCTCGGCCGCTGTCGTCTGGATCTGGACACGCTGTCTCCTCTCCTCTCCACGTGCTGGTAAACAACATTGGAGAATAGTAAGAAGAGGCTTCGTGTGATGGACTTGGGCTGTTGAACTGGTCATCGGGGTATCAATGAGCACCACCGTTTGACCGAAACAATTAAACACGCAGAGCACAGGTTTAGTGTCAAACATGCAGGCAGCATCATTTCCATGATAAATATTGATCAATAGAAAAAAAAAATATTTATAATAAAATTTTTTAGAAGATGATCTAAAAAAAAAACTCTTTTAATAACTTATTATAGACCTTATGCTCTCCTCTTTAAATAGAGGAGATCTCTATAAACTGGATAAGACATATTACACATCTCATAGAGACAACGATTGAGAGATTACAATCTAAATGATCCTGTAAAAAAAAATAAAAAGAGAGAAAGAGAGTCTAATCCTCTTTTATAGGTTAACAAAGATTTTGAATCTAAAAAAGATATCCTTGTAGATCACATAAAAATCACTTTATAGATGACAACAAAAGATACACATCGTAACACAAAAATTTTCTCAATTACGTATAACATAACAGTTTTTATGCTTACATATTTTACTTATCAAATCATACTTCTAAAACTTTAAAGATGGAAAAGAGTGACAGTGAGTTCTACAAAACATTCAATACTAAGACATCTGTACAATTATTGAATTAAATTAGATACATAAGTTAAATTATTCGAAACTATCATAGATAGTTATTGGGAACTTGGACAACTTAAAAAGCTAAGGCTTTTGAATTATTGGTTACACCAAGTATTTGGCACCAGCCTTCTTTTTCGATTCTTACCAATCTGAAAGTGTGTCCTAATAAATTAATATTTTGATATTTATGAAAATTCAATCAAGATTTGTCTTATAGTATTAGATTCATCTCATTTATGAAAATTCAATCAATATTTTGATATCATGTTTGGTTAGACCAGGAACAATCTAATTCAATGCAAATTGCACAACAAATAGTCAAATGTCCCTGTCAACATTTTAGTGGTATTTTCCACATTGGATTGACTAAAATGAAAAGTTTTCTGGTTGCCAAACAGAGTGCAACGTGGTTCATGTGTTTACAGAACAAGCCATGGGTAGATAAAAAAAAAAGGAACTGGATTGAAGCACAAGTAGGCCCTTTTCTATTATTACTTTGTATGATTTCAGTTATCAAGCTAATCATTATAGAAGGTACATCCTTGGTTTGTAAATAGTAGAATATAATAAATCACTTGTTTGGAATGATCAGTAATATATACTACTATTCATACAGTGAAGCAACTCATGTACATATTGAATTACAAGGGATGATCCTTCACCTTTGTGGTCTGCAACAATGAGACCTAATACAAGCTTTTGTTGGTGTTATAATGGACCAGCTAGCCTTCCTATATGATAAGGATCATCTACAAATGAATATTTACTCTACTTTGTGGGCAAAGAATTCATTCATTTGTTACCAAATTCATATCCTTCACTGTAGACTAGTCAAAACACCTCAAGTTCTCATATTAGAACCTTAATTATTCACTGCAGTAACAATTCAGAGGTTCTTTCTTCAGTCCCTAGTTTATCTTCAAACATCAATTATCCATCAAATGACACCTAACTAGTGTTGCCAAGGCATCTACAAACAAGCATATGGGCATTTCTTCAAACACTTAACCGTCAGACGAAGCACCAATACTCACCTACTAGGCATTTCCACAAACATATGCCATTCAGTAAAGATTAAACCGCACCCATTAGTAGAAGAAGCTGTTCATTCTTTATATATACAATAACTAGCATGCAAACATTTCAAATCAAACACATTAAATCTAAAAAGATCAGAAAGTTTGCAAGAGGAGAAGAGTCGAACCACCGAGACGACGATACATCTTCAGAAATCTTCATCCAGCTTGAACACATGGATGTCTCCGTTTCCATTCAAGCTGGACATCACTGAGGCCTTCTGGTAATCTCCAACCCTCTTTTCGAAGAAGTTCGTCTTCCCCTGCAGCGAGATGAGCTCCATCCAGTCGAAGGGGTTGACCACCCCAAACATCTTACCGTGACCCAGTGACTCAAGCAGGCGGTCGGCCACAAACTCTATGTACTGGCTCATAAGGTCGCCGTTCATCCCGACGAGGGCTACGGGAAGGGCGTCACAAACAAACTCCCGCTCGATGTCGACAGCGTCGGCAACGATGGCCCGGACACGGTCCTCCGACAGCTTGTTGCGGAGGAGGCTGTAGAGGAGGCAGGCGAAGTCGCAATGAAGGCCCTCGTCACGGGAGATAAGCTCGTTCGAGAAGGTGAGCCCCGGCATGAGGCCGCGCTTCTTGAGCCAAAAGATAGCGCAGAAGGAGCCAGAGAAGAAGATTCCCTCGACACAGGCGAAGGCGACAATTCGCTCGGCAAACGAGCCGGAAGATTCAATCCAGCGCAGGGCCCAGTCGGCCTTTCGGGCGACAGAGGGGACCGTCTCGATGGCTCGGAAGAGACGGGTCTTCTCGTCAGGGTCCTTGATGTAGGTGTCGAGGAGGAGGGAGTACATCTCAGAGTGGATGTTCTCGATGGCGATCTGGAAGCCGTAGAAGGCGCGAGCCTCGGGGAGCTGGACGTCGCGCATGAACCGGGCGGCGAGGTTCTCAAGGACGATGCCGTCTGAGGCGGCGAAGAAGGCAAGAACGTGGGAGATGAAGTGGCGCTCGTCGTGGGAGAGGCGATGCTGCCAATGGGGTACGTCCGGAGACAGATCCACCTCCTCCGCCGTCCAGAAGGAGGCCACCGCCTTCTTGTAGAACTCCCAGATGGAAGGGTAAGTGATGGGGAACATGCAGAACCGATCCGGATTCTCTGCCAGCAAAGGCTCGTACTCCTCTTCGCCGACGGCTGCAACTCGAGCAGCAGCAGATGGTGGCATCATGGCAGGCATGGTCGGGCGATCGAGAGCGGGAAAGAGGAAAACAAGGAGAGAAGGGTTTGCTTGGGCGTCGTGTCTACGCGGAGCAGCGATTGATATATAGCGAGAGACGGAGAGAGGGAAGGAGGCTTTTGGGAAGCGCGGGAGTTTTGGAGTTTGGGAGGGGTTTCTTGGTTTTCAGGGAGAGGAGGAGAAGGGGCGCAGCTAATGCGCCACCGAAACGTGAGGATACCACGTCGAACTAAAATTTGTAGTGGGGGCCACAGATGCTGTCTATCAATCCAGCGGGTGAGTAAGCGGTGGTACAGCCCGCGGGCCCGTCGGCCGTGCGTGAGCGTGGAAGCATAGTCTTTATTCTTTATGTGGGTGGAAGGGGAGAAACGAAAGGGTAAAAGTGGGGCGTGAGTGAAACATTTAGCATCCGAATTGTATAGCATTTGTGTGTCACCTCCCCCGCCTTGTGATTGGGCGGAGCAGTGAGTGCGCCACAACGCGCGATTCCTATAGCAAAGGCGGGAAAGCTCGTCACGATATTTCTGTAAACAAGGTAACAAACGGAGGAGGGCCCACCGACGAAGCAGATGCTTCCGTCTCTTAAAAACATGTTGACGTCTCAACAAAACAGAGACGGGTTAGTGGGTTGAAGTATTTAGTATTTACGACATGAATGAACCGGACCGGAATATCCCGAATCCGAACCCGCTAACTTCGGGTCGGGTTCGTTTACGATCACTCCGACCTCTCTATCCATGCGGTTTAATTTCTTGGCTTCCGGTCCGGTTCATTCATGGCTTCGGCTGCATCTTTCACGAGCAAACTCCTCCGTGTATCCATCCACCGAAAACATACGACCAGTACGTCAGACAGGATGATCTGCTCCCGATCCTCTCCTCTCTGATACCAGATCTCCGACCACTGCGAGGCAGCCCACAAAACCCCCAAGTGGGATCCATCATCAGACGGTGGTGGGAGACCAATCGACCGGCCGGCCATCGCCATGACCACCCCGTCGATCCATCTTGGACGCCGAATCGATCGCCATCGTCCCTCTTGTACGCACGCAGGCCATGCAGCGCAGCAGAGTGGTGGAGGAGGAGGAGGAAGACCGCGGCAGGCCCTTCATAATGTCTGGAGGAGCACGAGGTTGTGCTCCCCACCAATCCTCGAGGCCGATCCTTCACCTGCAAAGCCGAGAGGGGGGACCGAGGTTGTGGGTTTGGTGCTTGTCAATGGTGGTGGGAGACCATGGTACATGAATCATTGTCCAAAAAGGGGAGGAGGGCATCCCATCCCATCCCACCACCACCACCACCACCCATGCTGCTATCGGCCTCTCGTGAGAGAGCATCAGCTAAAAAGCTGAGGACGAGAAGGTGGGCTGCCTCTCTCCTACCACATATGCCTCCTCTCCCGGCCCTCTAAAAAAGCAGCTGAACATCACCAACCCATGAGATGTGTGATGCTGCAGCTTTGCTTGCAATGGCAGATGTCGTGTGATGCGATCCCATGGCCGGGCGATGTCGCAGCAAGCAGGCAGCGGTTACAAGTGTCACCTCATTAGCTTTTCTTCCTTCTCCACTAAGTTGTGCTGCGTACGATCCCTGAGGTGTAGCGTGAGGTGAAGAAGACCCACCGAACCATCTCAACTAGATGCCGACTGGAAGCAGTGCCTATTTGTTGCTTGTCAATCCATGGAACCTTTGAACCTTCTCCGCAGCTCACAGAAGGATTGAACACGTAGATGAAGTAGAAAAAGAGGGAGTCCATGACATCAACCAGCCTTTTCCCTCTTGAAGCTTTTGTGCCCATGCATTCATTGCAGCCTCTCCCACTGCCAACCCGTAAAGTGCCAACCCCGGTGGCAAAAGCAAGCAAGCAAGCCCACGCATGCTTCGCATCAAATCCACAATGAACGAGGAACATACCTGAGATGGGGACCTGAAACGGTGATGCCTTCACCCAAGTCTTCTCTCACTCTCTCTTTCTCTTCTCCTGTTTCTCGCGGAGCTTTTCCCCACCCTTCTCCAAAGGAACCATTTGGGGGCTTCCGGAAAGGTAAAGATATATATGTGGGCATGATGGTAAAGTGGCGAGTGGGAAGTCCATGTATATATAGGGGGCTCCTCACTAAACCATGATCCTCTGCTCTTGGATGATCTCTCTTTGGTTCTCTGTGGAAGAGGAGAATCGAAGAGAAGTGCAGCTGCTGCCGTCCCCGTCGACCCGTCTTCCCTCCGAGACGCTCAACTCCTCCATGGCGACCGATGCTTCCGACCATCCTCTGCTCGATCTCACTCTGTCGATGAGAGTCGGCACGCAGCGGCCGTCTCCCGGTGAGGAGTCCCAGAGCCGTGCGAAAAGCCTGCAGGTATTGAGGCAACAAACTGCGGAGCAGATCCGACTTGCTGCCGCGGAGAATGCATATGCTGAGAGGATGAGGGAGGTGACGAAGATGGAGATGGAGTTGGCGGAGAAAGAGTATGCACGAGCTCGGCTGGTATGGGAGCGAGCCAGAGAGGAGGTGAAGAAGGTGGAGAGGATGAAAGAGATGGCGACCGGGAGGATTAACTCGGCGTGCTTGGAGATCACTTGCCACAGTTGCCATCAACGATTCCGGCCGTAGCGGAGGCCGGTCCGACGTGAGTCTTTGTCACTTGTTGGATTATGGGATCATTTATCGCGAGTTGATCGAAACTAAGGGTGTCTTTTAGAATAACAAAGTTGGTGTGGTGATATGAAAGAAGGCTGTTCCAATTGCACGATTGTCAAAAATGTTTCTAGTTGATATATGTATTCTATGGAATCGATGAAGCAGCGATGCGATCATCTTCACCAGAGAAGAGAATTTAGTGTTCTTGTCTCATAAAGACGGTGCAAGTCTCATATCAATCAATAATGAAAGAGTAAGTAGGGGTCGCTCTATGTATGTAAACTAGCGACGACATCAAGTTTCTCCCTCGTCTTTGACCCACCTCTTTCTTGCCCTTGCTCCCCACCTTCACACCTGCTGTTACCTATCGAGTTGCTCCTTCCGAGGATCTGCATGCTACAGATCCTTCTCCGTAGCTACCTCAGGATGCCGACGATTCATCTTCTTTTCCGGATTCTTGACCTGCTGCAAAGGTCTCAACACCCACAATCTGGGTGGGCCTCTTCAGGCGTGCCGACGGCATCGATGCACCAAAAGTTCTCCGTAGGATTGGAAGAAAATTTAACTTGGTATACGGGCAAGAAAGAAATAGATGATGCTTAGGTCTCTTAGCCTTTATGGGAAATTAATTCTTTAGAAGAGCACCCTCCGTTAGATTTTTTGAAGGCAAAACTTCCCAAGAAATGAGTCTTTCTTCGCTTTATGCATAAAAGGGGATTTCACTAATGTCATCTCTATTCATGCTAATTAGTTCACCTAACCTAATGAACAAATTGAGTCTGCTCGAATCTCTAGCGAACTAATTGGAATGACCACTGTGGAATTCGGCTGCCACAAACAATTATGTGGCGTCTCTCTTCGGCAAGTTAAGATCACAACGATTCAAGAAACATCAACTTATTTCTATCTCGTCATCTTAATTACCCGTCTGTGTCGGCAGTAAACGTTGGCCCCGTTAATGGTGTCACAGAGGGACACATTTGCCGTCTTTGAGCTGCATGGACAACCAAATAACCATGGCGTGGATGTACAATTGGCTCGTGGCCGTGAATGCCGCAACAAGAGCTCTCCAACCATGGCAGTACGTAGCTTTTTCTTCAAGAAAGACATCAAGACTCACCTACTGAGTCGGTGATGCTGCAGTCTCACAGAACCGATCGGAACTGGAGTTGCCTTCGATCCTGAAATGCCACAGTTTCCCCTTGGAAGAAGCCAGGTTCTCATGACACAGGAACTCCCAAGAGTACCACTTCTCGATGGTGCGATCCGTGTCGTGAACGAGGACGTCCGTGCTCCGCCCAGTTCGCGCCATCACGGCGGCGGTGTAGATCGCGCCCATCCGCCCCGGCGCCTCCGGTCCGTCCCCGCTCGGCCCGTCGATGACCACCACGTCCCATCCGCTCTCGTACAGTACCTCCGGTAGCCCCCTCAGCGCCAGCTCGCAACGAGGTGCGCGCAGGGTTCCTGCTCCGGGTCTGCACGCGGGTCGTCTTCTCGCATGCTGGAGCAGCTCATACGCTCTCCTGGCTTTCTCGTGGTTGCCGAACGGGTACATTCTCAAGCCTTTGGATCGTCCAGATCTGAGCTTTTCCGGATCATCTTCGAGGAACACGGTGGTGCCTTGGCTGTTCAAGGTAGCAAGACCAAGAAACTGGGGTTTGTATCCGAAGATGAGAAGGTTGCAGGGGATTCTTCGGGCGATGATGTTTGAGGCAAGCTGGTGCTCTTTGGGACTCAGGATGTCCTCACGAGGGCGATCGACGTCGTGTCTGGGTTTCTCGGGTGCATGAGGAGGAAGGTGTTCCGGAATTGCAGGGATCGAGGAAGTCCATAGAAGCTTAAAGAGCCTAACGATGGATAAGGATGAGAGAAGCAACAAGAAGATGAAGATGAGTTTCTTCGGCCACATGATCCTACCGATGACTCTCCCGACTGCCTCTACTCTTCATCTTTCTTCGGCTACTGGATTTCTTAAGAACCAAGGAACGAGTAGCTGTCCGAGCTTTGAAGCTCTCCTTCCGTGCTTGCTTAGAACTCGAGGAAAACAAATCTGACGCTGATGTTTGTTCTTGCCATCGTTCTATTGATGCTGAAGGTCGAGTGACGGAGAAGAAAGTTCTACCAATCGACCGATGCAGTCGCAAATAATTGTGGGCTCGTGAAATTTACCGGCACACAACAGCTGGCTTCGGCTATGCCGTGCAGAAACCTTTCATCTCTCTCAGCTATGATGCTGATTTGTGATCGGAAGAGTGGGTGAAAAGACAGCTCGCTTTTCCCTATTCGTGGCTTCCAAAGAAGCTATAATTGCTCAGATCGGAGACAATTCAACCCGTACTATTATTGCTGTCGGTGAAATTTCTCTCACTATAAATTTTTTTTGACAAATTAACATAGAAATTGAGGTAAAAACACATCAAAATTAGTTGAATTGTGTACAGAGTTTTATCTGTACAATTTTGACCTTATATATATAAAGGAACAATTCGCACGACCAAAATCGACACTGTTGGTTCGATCGCATTCGAGTCCAACATTAAACGGCAATCCACCAGTGCACGATCTGATGGTGGTGAGGTATGTCCAAGACAATACAGTACACACACACACCAAACTGCTGCACTTATCTCTACTCTGTGGATGCCATTTGATAGCATGGGAGTCACATGGTTTCTTATCCATAAGATCCTCCTCCCTTTAGAATTGGATTTCCCCCATCACTTCGTTGTCAGGAGTATTGACCAACCCCCTTAGTTTGCTTTCTCGATTGGACAATGGATTGACTAAATCCCTTCCCATCGTCTTGTTTCTCCACATCGCGCTTGGTTCATAATTAACATAGAAACAGGCTTCGTTCATTCAACCAAAATTAAAATCTTTAAGTCCAATCAACACAAATAAATCGTAATTCCTACGAAAAAAGATCGTAGAATAATTTATGGTGCATGAAGAGAGATGATGCTGCGATTCCTACAATCCATGTGTGTCCGTCTGATCGGGAAGAAGTCCATCGATCTCAAAGCCAGCAAAACCTTCCTGCCTGAACTGCTGCAGGAAGGAGGCGTGCGGTACAACTACATGGCAGATCCAAGAGGTAAAGGAAGGAAGCAAGCGAGAAGTAGCAGATCAGCAGAAGGTCTCTGCGGTGGTCGTCTCGTTGGCTTTCACCGGCGGGATCCTGAAGTGCCACAGCCGCCCGGTGGCGCCCACCCGTTGCTTCTTGCAGAGGAACTCCAGCGCGTACGCCTTCTCCACCTTCCGATCCACGTCGTGGAGGAACACGTCGGTGTCTCCCTCCCCCCGCCGCCCCCGCGCCATCACCGTCGCCGAGTAGATCGCCGCCATCCGTCCCGGCGCCGACGGGAAGTACCCCTTGGGAGCGTCGATCATCACCACGTCCCACTCCCGCTCGTATACCTCCCGCGGCAGCCCCACCAGCGCCAGCGGGCACCCGCCGTTGCGCTGTAGCCCCGATATGCCATCCGCGGCTCCCGGCCGGCACGCCGCCTCCTTCCGATACCCCCGCAGCAGCTTGTCCGCCTCGTCCAGCCGCGTCCGGTACTTGACGTGGTGCGCCCGCAGCATAGGGGAGGTCTTGAGCACCAACTCGTACCACTCGGGATCCTCCTCCAGGAACAACGTGGTGCCGCCCGCGTTCATGGCCGCCCACATCCGGGAGTCCCGTCCCAGGCCGAAGACCAGGAAGTTGCAGGGCCCGCGCCGGCGGAGCACGTCGAGGGTCAGACGTATCTCCGCCCGCGACTGTTGCGGCACCGCCGAGGTGGTCGCGTAGTAGAGGAGCGCCTCCGCCAGCTGCCCCGTGGTGTCGGAGCCGCCGCCGCCGCCGAAGGAGATCCGGGAGAAGACGGGGGAGATGGAGCAGAGGAGGCCGCGGTCGGCGCCGATGAGGAAGCTGGAGACGAGGAGGGCGCCCGCGACGAGGGCTGCCACCGCGGCCGCCGCGAACAGGGGCTTCTGAGGAAACGCCCGCATCGCCTCCCCTCGGCGATGGATGTTAACGGAGAAAGTCAAGCTATCGCTGCACTGGCTCCTCTTTTCCCCTTAACCCATATCACATGGGTGGTGGCTTCCTTTCGTGACAGTAATACCCCTTTTACTAAGAATCATTTACGATCGAGTGCGGTATAATCAATGCTAGGGCATCGAAGGCGAGGGGTTGTTTGTACTGACGTGTGAGATCACGACACATCGAGCGACGGATTTTGGGGACGCGTAGGACAATGATGGGCGGCGGAAATGATCCCAGCAGGCTGATCTCACGCCCCCACGTGAGCTGGCAAAGACAGATGTATGTATGACAAGGATCGATTGTATTTTTGTCATCCGCTCGGGACGAGCATCGATACCTCGACAGCTATGCAATTTTAGTGACAAGAGTCTGTGGGGTCCAGAATCCAGACCGATCAGCCTACTGGTATAAGAGGAGTGAAGTTGTGGTTGGTGTGCAGATAACAAGGAAGATGACATGTTCTCCGACAAGAGAAGCCTTGTACGTCTTTATGATAGGCAAAAACTGCAAGAAAGAGAGAGTAAGCACCGGCATGTCACCGACTCGGCCGATCTGTTCACCCACTTGCCATATTTTTGGCTTTGTAAAGGCAGACATGACTCGCCGGGGGACCAATCTCCATGGTTTGAGACGAACCGGCGGCGGTTCACGGTAATAACGCCGTCACGCAGAGCAGCCACCTTTCTCCGGTACGTACGTGATGCGATCTTTTAGCGAACGCTTCCAAAGATAACGTGACACCTCTCCTACGCGTTTATTCTCGAGATTTCCTTCCCCGGTGACTCGGTGGGGCCCGCACGGCCGGTCCAACCACAAACCGGTATACTCTTGAGTTTTATATGGATACGAGGACGGTAGAAAAAGTGGAAGGAATTTAGTGAGGGTTAGGATCTATGATCGATCATCGAGATTCGGACTAGCGGAAAGAAGCACGAACGAACCTTCGTCGTCATGAACCATCAAAGATCGCTCAGCTACTGGTGGGGCCTGCCACGTCACGTGGTAGGGTGTCACCTCAGTATTTGATATCTGTGAGTATATTAAATATATATACGATGCGTGCGTGGGACCCAATTAATAGTCGTCGAAGGCCGGCCAACTAAAAGACAAGCTTTCTGCAGATGTTTATTGGGGAGCGTCATGTGCACCCAGCAATCACCATTTTTCCCTCTTATTACCCTCTTGCATGTAAATATGTTTGTGTACTTATATGAAAGGACCCATGTCCTCGAAATTTGTTGGATTCATTGATACGGCCGAAGTCAACGTTGGCCGTGACCACGACAATCTATGTTCGTAGGGTCCTTCTCCATTTGGCCGGGTAGATCAAATTTTATTATGCATGGTATAAAATTTGATGATGATCATAGTTCAAATCATTTTGTAAATCAATTTTGAATTTTTAGGGATTCGATCTGAAATTTTGGTAGTAGCTACGCTTGTGGGAGCTATAAGCAAAAATAATAAATTAGATCAGCATAAATAAACAATCAATATAGAAAAAAAAAAAGAGAAGAAATTTTGAGAAACACAATCATTATGCAAAGGTGAAATCTTGCCTCACTTTATGTTGGGCCAAAGCCCAAGAAACTGCAACACAACATATGTCATATCATTTCAATATCCATTCAATTTGAACTCAAAACAATATAGAATTCGAGATAAATTATCGAGGCATGCGATGCGTACGGCGTATACGTACAGAGCGTATGCTACAGGCGCCTTTGCAGTCGTCTCTCGGGTAAAGGAAAAGAAAGAAAGGCGCAGAACACAGGGGTCGTACGTACGTTACAGCAGGCCAATCAACGGTTCTGATGCTGCCATCCGTAGCGGAATCAACGACCGCTTGTACCTTGTGTCGATGCAGACGCCCATCCCGACGAAGCACCATCAGACGGCTCCAAAACCTCCACCTCATCCCGAGTTACGCGATCATTGCTGGAACCCGGTGTTGTCACGCGCGGTGACCCCCGCCATCGATGCAGGCAATAATGCATTCCCGTTCTTCCAAATATACCCTTGCGCAACAGTGTCCATTTTGCCTTCAAACAAGGGGCGGTTTCGACATGTCGGATAAAGTTTAAACACAGGGTCATGGAGTACCGCAACCTCCCCTCGGAGGCAAAACTGACTCGCCCTGTATCGAGGGGCGATGGGAACGCACGGATAAGCTTCGTGCGAGAAGTTTACCTCCGTTTATCTTTGAAGTTCACGAATCTAAAAGCGATAACTTACTCACCGACGGCAGATGTCAACTGACGCATATCGATTCGTGCAGTCGATGGATCATTTCTGCTAATTTGCATATTACATTAGCGACCACACTATCCCGCGCTCTCTTCGCTCTCCGTCCTCCGTGGGGTCGCGAGGGAAAGATAAAGGCGATAAAACCCTAATCCCAATCTCGAAGATTTTGGAGTTTGGACCGGCGGAAGGAGAAAGAGAGGAAGAAGAGGAGGGAAGCCAAGGAATGAAGAACCTTTACCCCAAAGGGAAGGGAAAGATCCACCCGTCACCGGCGGACGGTGGCGGGCCGTCGTCCCCGAGCCAGGATGTGCTCGCGGTGCTCAAGCTCCTCCCGGCCGCCATCCTGGCCCTCACGGTGGCGCTGACCTACCAGGATAAGGAAGTGCTGGCGTACCTGATCACCAGGTCCATCCATGGCCCGGCGACGCTCGCCGCCGGCGCGGAGCGTAGGCGGTGCCGTGGGCATCGGCCGCTCTTCGACTGCGGGTGCTTCGACTGCTACATCAGCTTCTGGTCGCGGTGGGACTGCTCTCCCGACCGCGAGCTTATCCACCAAGCCATCGAGGCGTTCGAGGAGCACCTAGCCAGCCTAGAGAAGAAGGCCGGCGGCAGGGGGCGGCGGAGGGAGCGGAGGGTGGTGGATAGAGCCGAGAAGGGCAAGAAGAAGAACAAGGAGCGGAGGAAGGCGGTGGTCGAGGAGGAGGAAGAGAAGTCGGTCGAAGAGTCAGCCATGGCGAATGAAGCCGCGAGCTTATCCGGCGAAGTCAAGGAATCATCGGATATTGTGGAGGCCGCGGCGGAGGAAGACGAGGAGAAGAGCGCAGAAGAAGAGGCGCTGCCGGTGGGCTGCGAGAGGCGGAGGGGATGGCCGGACGTGATGGGGCTCTTCAACTCTCGTTTGTTGAGCCTTTGGGGTCCGGGCGTGTGAGGCTTTTTTTTTTTCCTTATCTTTGAACGAGGAATAATAATAATAATAATTAAATAATTAAATAAAACAGATTAAAAAAAAAACTAGAGATGGGGGGAATTAAATTTGCAGTTGTTGGTTTGGAATTTTAAGTTTCTGTAGTGGTTATGTCTCGAGTTGTGTAGAGTTCTGTAGTCGAGTATGCAATGTGTATGCGACTTATAGTTGACGAAGTAGCAGATGATGTTGGTGGTGTTCATCATCGAGAAAGATGCTGGACAATTCAGATGATAGATAGATAGATAACGAGGCATTCGAGCTTCATATATGGTATTGTAGCATTGAGGACGGCTTACACTACTTGCCGACTGCCATGGCGTTGTAGTGTAATCCTCTCTCTCTCTCTCTCTCTCTCTCTCTCTCTCTCTCTCTCT